TCTTTGCATCAGGCTGTGCTTGGTGACCATAAGGAAGTCACTTACAATTCTCAAAGTTTCTGTGCTTTCATCTGTAAATCCTAAAAGGCTTTGGTGAGAAAATATCATAGCATCTAGTGCATGTTGGAATTCAACAGTTCGTAGTTCCCATCTCCTTTGAGAAAGGTATGGGGAGAAACTAAAATTTAGTGGGTAAATGGGTGGGATTCATTTCATATATGGAAGCACGCCAACTCTCACATGCAAAATGTATTGATGTTTTATTCTCCAACGCCAGAGAACATTTGTGCTAAGTTGAAAAAAATGATCCTAAATTCTTTGCAGCTCATTCTACTAAGAAGTGGAACATTCGGGCGCCTGGGTGGCTCAGCGATTGAGTGTCTGCCTTTGGATGAAGTCTTGATCCTGGGGTCCTGGGATCCAGTCACACTTCTGGCTCCCCTAGAGGAGCCTGCTTCTCCCTCTGCCTGTGTCTCTGCCTCTCTCTCTGTGTCTCTCATGAATAAAAAATACAATCTTAAAAAGAAAAAATATGCAACATTAACTCACCTCTTGAATGGCATAGCTCTGTGACTTGTTTTGACTACCAGAATGTAGGGGAAGTGGTGTTGTGAGTCTAAATTTAGGCTGAAGAAGCCCTGCAGCTTCTCTCTTGCACTAGGGAGTCTTCCCATACCTTGTGGGTAAGTGTAAGCCACTCTGCTGGATGATGAGCCCAAATGGAGTGGCCCAGTAGTCTGGGCTGAAGCAGTTGATGCCACAGACATGTAAACACCTGAAGACAAGGGAGCTCGCCCAGGACACAGAGTGCCCTGTGGGCGTGACACAGTTTTCTGTCTTACAGGATCCTGAGAAAATACTAAAACATTATCTGAAATCGTTGCATTTTGGAGTAGGGTATTATATAGAAAAAGCTGACTGATACAATATCCTTCCAAGAAAATTCTATATCCTAGTGATCTCTTGGTGCTCCCTTGCTTAACAGGCTCTCACAAACCGACACTGCCACAGGGGGAAGATTGGATGATGAGGGAAAAGCTATAAGCCATCGCTGGCCTAGAACGATTAATCTTTGTCAGTATACAGTTGTCATCATTTGGGAGTATTTGCCATGTGCACATACTAGAGTGTATTTAAACCTTATAATTTGTACTTCTTTATAATTTCATTTCATCATATAACTATCACATAATGGTTTTCATCGCATTTTATAGAAAAGTACACTAAAGCTTGTGTATTCTGAGTGACTTACCCAAGGTGATACAGCTGATAAAGTCAAAAGCAGTTTACAATAAAAGTAAACATTTATTTGATGACCAAGTCCACCCTCTTCTTACTTTTGCTTCACTGGACTTGGTTGATTGCTGTGAGGCATCTCTAATTACTGCAAGATGGGAGAGGTTTTGGTCTTTTTAGTACAATTAACCAATGCATAATGATTGACATTGTAGCAGGGCAAAAGAGTTGAAAGTCAGAACTAAAGAATTTGAAAATACACAAGTCCTTAGGAAATGTTATATATATTAATGAGAACTAACCTACATTTTGTCTAAGTAATTTCTTAGAGGGCATCCAATGATGTAAGTTATAATGACTCTTCCATTTATCTTGACAATTTTAAGTTAAATCAATGCAGGAAATAGTGATTTTTGAGGAAATTATGAGACAAAGTAATATTTTAAACTCCATATTTTATTTCTACCATGAATTAATTTGTCTTTCAGACAGAGCTAAGACGTTAGTTTTTGTCAAAAATGGCACATCATTCTTCTGAATCTAATTCTCGAATAATTTTACCTGATGCCAAAATTATGACCTGACGACAGAAGTGACTGGAACAGGTTCATTGTGTGACTGCAGGAGGAGATGAGACACAGAGGCTGGTTACAGGCAGAGCTCATCTTTGCCTAGTTAAGGACATGGGCTTGCCTGAACTTCTCCATCCCACAGGATTTGAGATCTGCAGCTGGACCTTGGAACTTCCCGTCCAAGATGCAATTCTGATCCACATGATTAGCACCCTAGCTTCCTAATCTGAGTTAAATTTTCTTTAAAGATGATACTAGTAGGTAATATTCTGGAGCCTCGTCAAGAATGGTTTTGTCCATCTGTCACAGTCTTAAGTAATTTTGGCAAAGAAATAGCAAAGTTTCAAGACAGCAAAAGTAAAAAACCAATGAATCAAGGAAGTAGAAATTAGTAAAAGTTTCTTGTGCACAAGTCAAAAGACAGTTTGCACACCAGAAGTATTTTAAACCACAAGGTGCAAGGCTCAGGGATAGCTTATTACAAGGTAGCTATGTCATGAGAAAGCAGTGACCGCTTAATCTTCACAAGGATTGGCTGCAATATTCAGTTTTCAGTGGTTACCTCAGATCAACCATGGGAAAAAGTTCAATTTCATTTGTCCTTTCCAGAGGCTGAAGCAAGAAATTTTCCAATTCAAGATGACCTTGCAAAATAAGCTGAATTACTGTTGTTTATACGATTAAACTTGTGCCTTCCAAAGGTAGAAGCAAGAAATGATCGGGTTCAAGTTAGCCTTGCAAAATAAGCCAAATTAAGCTTTGTTTGTAAAAGTTTTGAGGCTGGATGCCATTTGTTTCTGATTTTAACAGTACAGAGCAGATAAGTCTGGATCCAGGAAGAGCCCAGAAACATGGTGTCTCCTGCACAGAAAGAAGGAGGCTGCATAGTAAATGAAGCATGCCTCAGTGAAACCTCAAATCCCGAATGATCCACAAAGGCACAGACTTGAAAGAATAAATCCACCCGTAGGGTCAAATATCTATCCTAATTATGTTAGGACCTGTATTCTGAATCCACACAGGAAACTCCCTCCCCTACAAAGACTCATGAGTGACGCTTGTCATTCTGCAGCACTCACTAGCTGTGGGACCGTGAGCAAATTCCTATACCTTTCTGAAACTCAATATCCTCCTTGTAACTTGGGGGTGATATTCACTTACTACAGGTATAGTGGGAGCCCCAGGAATTTTTCATTCCAAGTACAGGATATATATATATATATATATATATATATATATATATATATATATTCCTCACAGCGCTCAGATGAGATGCTGTTAATGCCTCCAGCCAAAGACCATCAGGAGCACACCTGAGAATGAACAACTTGGTTTAATTGTTCATTGTCATGAGAGAGAAAATTCACCATGGACAAAAACGGGGCTCTCGGGCTCATCTCCGCTCTTTTTTTTTTTTTATCCTAATTAAAGTCTGTTTCATGCCCAGCATGGAGTCCAAAACGGGGCTTGATTTCACAACCCTGAGATCAAGACCTGAGCTGAGATCAAGAGCCAGACGTTTAATCCACTGAGCCATCTGGGTGCCCACATCTCTGCTCTGAAGACTTTACAACTAGTTGGTTTGGAGTCATCCAGATTATCTAGGAAGACCTCCCTTGCTTTACGTCAACTCTTTATTTATTTTAATCACATCTACAAAATATTTTCAGAGCAATTACAACATTAATGTGTGATTGAATAACTGAGGCTTATAGCTTATCAACACATGAAACCGACGATTTAACTACTGTAAGGTTTGGGTTTGTGTTAGGTGATTTTGAGGAGAATATAAGATAGAGAGACTCTGCTCTTAGTTGGTTGTCAGGCAGGAGGATTGCTTGGTCTTTTGGTGGCCTGGACAATATTTGTATTTTGTCTATGTTCAGACATGGTTACTGACTGGCCTTGTTGCTGTCTTTATCCATCATGGTCGTCACAGAGTGGCTTACACTGCTGTTCTATGACATTTTTATGTTCACCAGGAAAACACCAGAACCCGGCGGTGGGTAGCACACCTGGTTACTAGTACCAAGTAGCTCCCAGATGCCAGAGCTTTTCCTGTCCCAGTCTTCCTATCATGTCTGTCAATACAGGGTATGATAGAGTACTGAGCAATAGAAGGCCATCCAACAGGCACAGAGTGATTGATTCCAAGTGGAAGCCCCTAGTATCTTGTAGCTTCCATACCTCACAGAAAATCGGTTCTTCTGGAAAAAGAAGGACTAAGGACTGCCTTTGTCTTCAGCTCAATTCCTAGTCCCTCACAATTATCTGGAATACATAGCAGGATAAAGAATACGAAAACTTCCAGGATGTCAGGGAAGGAAATCAATTTCTAAATCACAGCAGTTCCCCTCATTCTACCCTCAACATTTGACTTACATTCTTAAATGTAAAAAATAAAAAAAAAATTGAAAATGAAAAATAATACAGTGAAGCAGCTGAAGCAGTCTTTAATGCAATCAATGTCCCCAACTTGCCTTTAAATGTAAGCAGGCAGCACTGAAACACAGAGCACAAAGAACGCTCAGGGTAGGGAAACCATGACAGTGAAAAATGATGCAATTACTGTAGGCAGCATTAATGACCTTATGACTTCTTTTATCGTCCCAGATGCAAATACTGGAGCTTTTGAGACCATAAGAGGAATTTAACAGGAATTACATATGTAGTAAAGCAAAGGTAATCCTTGGTTACCATCAGAAGAAATATCCTGGTAGATAAATCAAAATTTGGAAAATTTTATATGCACTATGGAAGCAAAAAAAAAAAATACTTGTGGAGGCCAGGAAAAGGGAAGGAGTTAAGGACTGCCAAGGAGGGGAATCAATTTATAGGAGAATTTTTGGAGGCTGTAACCCAGAAGAGCCTGAAGAAAATCATGTGAGTGATTATGTTATCTATACATGAGGCTACTCAGAAATTCCGCCCCTCTTGCTGCCACCAACAAGCATACACATCCATAGGAAGATTGATTGAGTGCGCCTCCTCCTTTCCTAGGTAATTCCCCCAGGTCCACTCTCCATGCAGGCTACCTCAGAACAGGGGGATTTCCCAGTATCTTCTGGCTTCTTAGTACAAACTCTTCAACTGGCAACAGCAGTGTCACCATAAGGCATTTTTCTGATTGGCCAGAACCTGACCTGGCAGGTTTTGGTTTGGGTGTCTTTAGATTCCCCTCTCTGTTGGGTCCTCACCCTAGTTCTGCAATTCAGAACAGCAAGTGTGGAGACCACACGGAGAAGAGGATGATCCTAAACAGAGTTCTGATTCTGGGGACCCTCATCCTGGCTATTATGATGAGCCCCTCTGGAGGTGAAGAGATTGTGGGTGAGTGCACACCTGAGGGATATGGGGACTAGACTAGGGAAAAGGAATTGGAAGGGGAAAAAGAGACAATGGCATAAAATAGTGGAGACTCCTCAAAGGTGTTCTCAATATTAAGCAATTCTAAAATTTTTAATCATTCTTCCTTCAGGAAACTAGAGACCCAACCCACTGTCTTTGCTCCCTGTGATGTTGCAGAGTTCATCAAGGATATTATTCCATTTCTAATCTCAGACCCAGTGAATATAGGCTAGAGGGCTTGATGGCATTCATTCATGATTACCTTAAAGTATAGGGATGTTTCCATGTTTTGTTTTGTTACTAAAACCAAATTTGTTTTGTTACTAAAAAGTCATGAACTATTGCTCCCAAATGTTTCTGAAAACATTTTGAAACTTTCTACATGTTTTTTCTATAGTCTCACCTGGGGTAAAAAGTTTCATGAATTATGTATACTACGTAGATATAAGGATGGGTATCCTCTTCTTTGACTCAAATTTACACACATTTTCATGCTGGGAACTGGCATGAGGGGAGTGGGTATACAAGCCCAGCTGAATACCTTTAGACAAGTCATTCAACCACATGACCTCATATATGTCATTCAGGAATAATTAAATCAAATATGTATTTAGAAATATTTTTCCAATAATGTAAACATATCCATGTCAATGATCATACTTGTTTCTTAACTGTTTCTATTACAGGTGTGAGTTAATTTTTTAATTTAATTCTAGGATGGTTAACCTATACGTTACTAGTGTACAGTATAGTGATTCAACAATTCTATACATTACTCAGTGCTCATCAAGATAAATGTACTTTTTTTCTTTTAAAGATTTTTATTTATTTATGAGAAACACACACACAGAGAGAGAGAGAGAGAGGCAGAGACATAGGCAGAGGGAGAAGCAGGCTCCCTGTGGGGAGCCTGATGCCAGACTCAATCTCAGGACCCCAAGATTATGATCTGAGCTGAAGGCAGACGCTCAACCAATGAGCCACCACCCATGTGCCTCCAAGATAAATGTATTCTCAATCCCCTCACCTGTTGCAGCCATGCCCCCCAGTCACTTATCCTCCGGTAAACAACAGTTTGTTCCCTACAATTAAGAGTGTGGTTTTGTTTCTTTTGTTTCTTTGTTTTCTTTCTTAAATTCCACACATCACTGAAATTATATGATAGTTGTCTTTCTCTGAATGATTATTTCGCTTACCATTACACGCTCTAGCTCCTACCACATTGTGCAAAAGGCAAGATTTCATTCTTTTTATGACTGAAAAATATTCCATTGTACATATATATCATATCTTCTACAAAGAGTAGGTTTGTAACCATCAAAGTAGAAAAACCAAGCAGCCTTAAGAGGGGAAGTGAAATGGAGCATACTCTAATTTTCAACATCTTTGTTAGCCATGAGTGTTCCCATCCTAATTTAATTTGGTCGGGGAAGTTTGCCTCACTTTGCCAGAGAACTTCTCATTTCCTTCTTCAACATCATGCCAGAGCATCTTGGTCAGGCTCAACTTATCCAGTAAGCACAGTGCCAAGGGCCTACGATGCCTCTAGGGCACCATAAAATGGTTTAGTCTCTTTTAAAATGAGAAGAAATGAATTTATGAGGTAGAGGAAAATGTTTTAATTTTTCATTCAACCTGGATTATATTTATCTTTATACCAATGCAGTCACAGAGTGTGATTTCTAATATTTTATGAGGAAAGGGACCCAATAGGGATTAGGCTCACGAGTCATACAACAGCCTTGACCACTGCTGATTAACTTCCATATGGTTTGACTAGCTCTGTGTCTATCAACCTCCACTCACCCAAATGTCTGTGATCCTTGAGAATAGCAATTGAAATTCAATACACACTTTTGAGCAAACAGTGAGATTAATTTTGGGGATTCAAAGATGAAGGAAAGCAGAAGGAATATCGCTGAGCAGAACTATGGACCCACTGAGGCTGAAAATACAGAAGTGAATCAGTTCCAGTCAGCCGTGTAGTGTGATGTTCATCAACAAATGGTGCCTTGGACAAGCACCAAATGGAAAGAATAATTGCATATACTCATGTTTGAAAAAGGAACCAAGGGAACCAAGGATAAAGGCTAGAGGATACAGAGGGTTTGATGGAGGGCCTTTAAGTAATCACCAAGGGGGGGTTCATGCTGGGCAAGGAAGAGAGTGAGTTGGATGAGGCATAGATAAATCTGGAAAGCAAGACATTGGGATGGAGGCGTTGGAGGTTATAGTGAAGCCAAGAAAATGTCCAATGAGACTAATTAACTGAAATGTTGCTAACCGAACAGAGACTTCCAAAAGGAATTGGAGGTACCCAGGAAGTCTGAAAAGATAGCTTTGTTACAAGGAGACACACCCCTAAAAAGGCCAAGGAACATACAAGAAGAATGTGCTTTGGTTTGACTGGCAGATGACATATTTGCAGAGGAAGTGGGCCCATAAGGCTGCTGCTGTTCCCTGCAGGACTCACCACAGCATGCTGTATTTGTTCCTGTACTCACTTGACTCTCCCACCACGCAATAAACTCCTTGAAGACAGAAACCATGCTGATGGGTGTTTGACTCCCTGCTCCTCATGTCTGACATCTTGCTGATGTTCAGCAAATGAGGAAGAGCATAAGGAGGAAATGATAAAAAGCTCACGTATCTCTTTACAAAAATGTCCAGTTGGGCTCACCGGGTGGAGTCATACTGCTGCCATTCTACTTTGGCATCCTTGCAAAATACTTTTTTTTTTTTTTAATGGGCAGAAGCTTTATTTCCTAACCCACTCCTTGGATCTCTGTCAGAATAAAGAACAGAAGCACAATAGGTAGAATGCCAAGTAAACCAGAACCCAGCTGAGACCGCACACCTGTACTCTTCATAGCAGTCCCTTTTCACACACCAGACAGAAGGGGAAGCCCGACAGGGAGGCCCACTTGTGCAGATTCAGGTCTTGTTGGGGATGTTGAGCAGTTACAAGAGGCTCTTCAGAGAAGGTCCATTTGAAGAGAAGGGCCACAGTTTACCAGGAGCCCTAAACAGATAGAAATGCAAGTCAGAATTAGGTTAGGGGTTTGCAAGGAAAAAAAAAAACACGAGGGATGGGGCGTGACAGAAATCTAAAATCTAATGAAGCTTCCATTTTGTACTTCTGATGGATCAAGTGCTCCCCTCTGAGGATTACCGTTGTTAACAAGAGAACTTGGTGGCTCCTGGGTGGCTCCATTGGTTAAGTGTCTGCCTTTGGCTCAGGTCATGATCCCAGAGTCCTGGGACAGAGCCCCAAGTTGGGCTACCTGTGGGGAGCATGTTTCTTCCTTTCCCTCTGCTGCCTCCTCTGCTTATGCTCTCTCCCTCTGTCAAATAAATAAATAAAATCTTTTCAAAAAAGGAACCAGAGACCTTAGGAGTATTGTTTATTTTTTTATAGACTTTTTAACACTGTCGCTGTCCTCGTCATACTCGTTCTTATACCCTAAAATAGTCAAGAAACTCTTTTCGAAGAATACAATCCCTCGTGCTTTTTTTGACAAAATAAGAAGCAGAAGAAGGCGCAGGAGAGAGGAGGAGGAGGAAGGAAGGAAGGAAGCTTGACCTCTGCAGAAAATATTCCGCTCTGAACCAGTCCTGGGGGGAGAGCAATCAATGTATGTGTTATTAACTGATGAAGGAATTAAGCAAGAGATAAAACTGATGAAGCAGACAGAAGTTAAGTGAATTTCTGATAAAGGAAGCTATAGCCATGATAATTTATTCATTCCTTCTTTCATTTCATTGTAATATTTATCTACTGAGCCTACTGAGCGTACCGGGTGCTGAGCTACACACACGGGAAGAGCAGCAGCAAGGCCGTTGTAATTGTGCCCTCACGGGGCACACACGATAGTGGAAAAGCAGAGCGTATTCGGCCTGGACAACTACCAACACGGAGAGAGGGGGGCAGGTGCTGGGAAACGTGCCTAAAGACTGTGCCAAGGACGAAGCTCGTAGTATTTGTTTGCCCGCAGTTTGTTCTGTCGCTTGGTTGAATAAGGTTCTTTTCTCCCTCTGTTTTCTGCTTCCTGCTCCTCCCCCCTGCTGACCAGCTGACCATGTTGCCTACTACGGCGTAAATGTCTACCAGTCTTACGGCCCCTCTGGCCAGTACACCCATGAATTTGATGGCGATGAGGAGTTCTACGTGGACCTGGAGAAGAAGGAAACTGTCTGGCGGCTGCCTGTGTTTAGCACATTTGCAAGTTTTGACCCACAGGGTGCACTGAGAAACTTGGCTATAGCAAAACAGAACTTGAACATCCTGACTAAAAGGTCCAACCAAACTGCTGCTACCAATGGTATGTGTCTACCATTCTGCCTCTCTTCACTGAATCTGTCCCCACATCCCAGCTCTCTTTCCCTTCCTCCCTAGCACAGACACTCTTCACTGTTTTCCAAGGATATTTCCCCAGATCTTCTCATAGTAATTACTGAACCCTCATCCTCCCCCATCTGAAAACTGAAATATTGCCATGTAATGCAAGGACCCTTACTCCCATACCATGTTCCTTGAATCCCTCAAGGAGACGCCCTGTGGATATGCTACTTTAATAAGCACACCTGCATAGAGAAGGGCTCGGGGATAAAGTATAGGCAGTGAGTGCATACACAGCATTCCCAAGCAGAAGGTAAGCAAGAACCCTTCCACCACCGCATGGGGAACTGTTGCTGGGAGGGCTCCTCTAGGACACAATGCAGAGCCTCAAGGCAGAGTTATTGCAATTCATGTCAGTGCTGCTTCCTCACCACAGAGGTTCCTGAGGTGACTGTGTTTTCCAAGTCTCCGGTGATGCTGGGTCAGCCCAACACCCTCATCTGTCTCGTGGACAACATCTTTCCTCCTGTGATCAATGTCACGTGGTTGAAGAATAGGCACTCAGTCACAGAAGGGGTTTCTGAAACCAGCTTCCTCGCCAAAGGGGATCATTCCTTCTCAAAGATCAGTTACCTCACCTTCCTCCCTTCTGCTGAGGATATTTATGACTGCAAAGTGGAGCACTGGGGCCTGGATGAGCCACTCCTGAAACACTGGGGTATGTATGAATTCCACCTCCTGTGGTGCCTTCTTTTCTTTGTCAAGTCCAAAATATCCTGCCTGTCAGCCCCGGAGTCTCAAGGCTCAAAGCATGCTTATGACACTTCAGGGTTTCTAATAACAGAGTTCACTCTCTTCCCTAAGCCTGGTGCCCTGAGACTTCATAGACCCAACAGCACCATCACCCTCCTCAACCCCCCACTCCATCTCACACCTGTACTTGAACCAACACTGTATTCTGACTTTCACAACCTCATTTTCACAGAACCTGAAGTTCCAACCCCTATGTCAGAGCTGACAGAGACTGTGGTCTGTGCCCTGGGGTTGGCTGTGGGCCTTGTGGGCATCGTGATGGGCACCGTCTTCATTATCCAAGGCCTGCGCTCGGGTGGTACTTCCAGACATCAAGGACCTTTGTGAGCTGCACCCTAGAAAGGAAGGTAAGGATTCAGATTTGTCAGAGCTGAGAGTTGGAGACACAGTCCAGGAGGATGGAAAGTGGGAGGAGTTTGTGGACCCAAATGTGGTTGGAAGGTTATAGCGGAATTGGGAGAGGGGAGGATGACAGCACAGCAGCTCCCTAAAATCCAACCATCTGTGTCTGTCCTATTGCAGGTGCACTGCATGCCCACCTCCCAGAGCAGAAGACTGGACCTGATAGGCCACCTAGCACTATTTCCTTGCCCAGTTCATCATATTCCTACTCTCTACCAGTGCTTCTCTGTCACCTCTTCTCTGGCACTCAAGAACTATATCTTCTGAGCGCTCACCCTTTAAATTCTACCCCTTCCTTGACTGCCTGTTTTTGTTTGTTTGTTTTCTTTTCTTTTCTCAATTGTCAACTACAATGAGATCTCTGGGATATCCCAACCAGTTACCTGATCCCTCATTACTCTGATCTGGTATTCCCATGGAAATAATAATTTTCTCTTTAAGAGATCCTTTAGATCAATTTTTCCTGTCTTTCATCTCAGGGCTGATTAGGACTTTGGTCCCCCTTTTTTTTAGACCTTCCTAATCTCACTTTCCATATTATGTTTCATGCCCAGCAACACCAGAAAATGCAGGTATAGGCTGATAATATTTTGATATCTTAGGTAAGGTTAATGGTTCTCTCTTCCTGTTATTCTCATGTTTGGGTACTGCCACACTCCCCCAATTCAGACACCAAGAAAAGTCATATAAGCCCTCTGACCTTGGTATAGATTTGGTATAGGAGAAATACAAAGCCAAGAAATAAGTTCATACTTCTTTTAACATAATTTTAGAAAGCTATGACAGAGAAATAAGTTAAGATAAAGAGGGATCCCTGGGTGGCGCAGCGGTTTGGCACCTGCCTTTGGCCCAGGGCGCGATTCTGGAGACCCCGGATCGAATCCCACGTCAGGCTCCCGGTGCATGGAGCCTGCTTCTCCCTCTGCCTATGTCTCTGCCTCTTTCTTTCTCTCTCTCTCTCTCTCTCTCTCTCTCTCTCTGTGAGACTATCATAAAATAAATAAAAAAAATTAAGTTAGGATAAAGAAATTTTGAATTTCATAAGTACCAAAAGACAAATTGTTTTCCAAAACTTTAAAATTTCAATTTGTGAAGAATGAATGATGATAGGAGAAGCTTTCCTCTCCCATCCTCACCCATGAGAAGATAAGAATTCTTTAGGCAGGAAAATAAATGGAAGTCAAGTAAGAGAGCATTAGAATAAGACCATAAAGTAAGTACCTGAGGAGAACCAAATACTTTGTTCTTACTTAGGGACAGCAACAACAGGATGAGAAAGGGAGTAGAAATCATAGACAGTTAAGTTTCTTAGAACACAGGTGTAGTTTGCCTCACCTCTTACATGAATCTCTTCTAGATAAGCACGTAGACTTTCCTGTGCCCTGGTGGCATATCAGGGATAGTAGAGTGAATATATCTGCAGGATGTTTCTAGGCAGATCATCTTAGGTCAAGCTCACTGAATCCCTGTGTATCCCTGTGCATCCCTGGGCACCCAAGGAAACTGCACAACACCCCAATAACTCCAGTCCCGTGCCCCCACCCCTCATCCCTCTTGTATCTGGAAAGAATGAATCTAAGAGAGAGAAAGGTCAGCAGGGACAACGTAGTGGAGATAATGTACTGGCAGCTATGGAATGGATCCTGTATTCACTTCTAGATTCATTGTCCTCTAGTGGAAACTCTTGCAGAGGAAATGGATCAACAGATGGAATTCTCTGGTGTTCTTGAGTTGTCTAAAGCTTCACTCGGAAAGTGTATGTGACTTGACTCGGAGTCATTTTCCCTTTGAAATTATTTTAGGCACATATTGGCCTTAGTCTTTTCACTCTGCAAGTACTGTGTCCATACATGGTGTCTAAGGCAATATTATGGAACAACTATAAAATGTATGAGGCTGTCCCTGGCCACACCACCTGTATCAGTGAATTTAAAGTGTAATTGGGAGAAAAAAAGACAATTGTAACACAATAGTTGATATAGTAGAGTTTGATGAAATGAAACTTAAATCCAAATTCAGGACATATGTCTTCTGAGACTCACCTTTCTCATCCATTCTCTGGAAGTAATAATACTTTCCTTGCAGTTATTGACAGAATTTGAATAATCTTGATTACACATAATATGGAAATACATAAGAAAACATTGCTATTTGTATCTGTATTATTAAAAAGAATTGATTATATCGTATTAAAAGCACTTCTCTTTTTCTGAGTCCATTAATGATTTAGAAGTTTCAAAAATGGAGCTGTGAATGAATTCCTTTTCATAAGTTAAAGAGAGGATTTTGCTTTCCCCAGCAACTCAGAGACTCTGAGATTGGCTTAGGCTAAGAGAATAGATAGGGTATAGCAGTCAGTGACATGTCACCAGTGGAAGATTGCTAAGAGAATTCTTAGAACAGTAAGTCGTAAGAATTTGACTTGAGGTTTTTAGGACCAAAGATATGCTATATTGTAACAGACCTTATGCATATTTACTTTGGGGATAATTCAAGGATCAAGAGTTACCTGTGAGGTAGAAGTAAGAGAATAATTAACAATGGAGACTAGGAACTAGTAAATTTAGGGAATCTGACCCAGAAGTTATCAAGAAAATGTAGGTAACAGAACACAGAGGAGGTCAGGCCAGTGCAACTACTCTGCAATGTATTATAATGGTAGGTACATGCCATTACACATTTGTTCAAACCCACACAATGTACACCAAGAGTGAACCCTAATGGAAACTATGGACTTTGGTAATAATCTATCAAAATAGTGTCATCAATTGTAATAAATGTACCACTCTGGTAAGGGATGCTGATAGTAGGGGAGGCTGTGCCTGGTGGGGACACAGATATATGGGCAGTCTCTGTACCTTCCACTCAATTTTGCTGTGAACCTTAAATTGCTTTAAAATAAACTGTATTGGGATCCCTGGGTGGCGCAGCGGTTTAGCGCCTGCCTTTGGCCCAGGGCGCGATCCTGGAGACCCGGGATCGAATCCCACATCGGGCTCCCGGTGCATGGAGCCTGCTTCTCCCTCTGCCTATGTCTCTGCCTCTCTCTCTCTCTCTCTCTCTGTGTGTGTGTGTGACTATCATAAATAAATAAAAATTTAAAAATAAAATAAAATAAACTGTATTAAAAGAATGTCAGCAATTATGATGTCAAAGGTATAAAATAAAAATTTTAGTATAAAAAATGTAATCATCTGAAAATGCACTAATGTACTCAGGGAGAGTTTTTGGCAATAGGCTGTCAAATAAATGTTATATAAATCTCAAGGAATCGTGAGATGGGAACTCAGGAATTTGGGTAAAGGTGTGTGTGTGTGTGTGTGTGTGTGTGTGCATTATTGTACTATAAGGTGTATACTGAATCCCATTATGACCAGTGCCCTAGGAATACACAAACACTGACTTACTCAGACTCCTTCTCAATGAAATACTGAGGAAAACAAATTTAATGGAAGATGCATTTTATTAAGGGGCTTCATTTGTAAGACTTCACATAATTTTAAAATAGAAATTTAAATTAATTCTAACAACAAGCACAAACATTTCGATATTAGCTAAAAGTTAAAAGTGAGATCATCACATGACATTACTGTAAACAAAGATATCAATCCTCATGATACTAAATTATGTGATCTAAAAAATTATTTGAGTTATTTTACTTATTTCTGATTGTGTGCATAAATTGTGACTATTAATATTTAATATCATACTATTCAAAAATACATAATTAGAAAATCCTTTTATTCAGCAAATCATTTTCAGGGAAAATAAAGAACAGATAAACTTCATATTAAAAAAATTAAGATACATATCAACCAAATGTTAGGTTTTGTTTGGATGCATATTCAAATAAAAGAACTGTTAAAAAATTCTTGTGAAACAATCACAAAAATTGAACTCTGACTCTATTAAGAAATTTTTAATCTAATTTTGGGTGTGATAATGGCAATGTTATGTTTCCAAAAAGTCATTAAATTTTAGATTTCGTAATAACATATTCATCGATAAAATGATATGATTTATAAGAATATCATCAAACTAATCCAGTATATGTGTAAAATTAAGTGGGTAGGTTTACAAAATTATCCATGTATTAATAATTATTAAAGGTGGACTCTTGATACTTGGCACTATTCTCTCTACCACTACATATTGTTGAAATTTTCCATGATAAAAAGGGTTTCTTTTAAGTATCCCAGGAAAGACAAAGAAAAAAACTAGGTTAAAAAGCATTCTGCGGTGTTATTCTGTATGTTGGTAAATTGAACACCAATAAAAATTAATTTATTAAAAAAAAAAGCATTCTGTTTGAAGTTAGCATTCGTTTTTAAGATTTTCCTCATTTTTTATCCCAGGTAGGAAGCCATGAGTATCCAAAACTTGCTCCACACCATGGACCTCTCAGAAATGTAACCCTAAAGAATACATATGTCACAAGGATAATATTGAAGGAAAGCAAAGTAATACTCTCTTTATCTTGACTGGACTAAGCCCCAAACATTGCTAATATATACACTAATTTAATTAATAATGCAAAAATAAAAATGGTTATTGAATACCAGTGTTGTGACACATACCATACTACATTCTGAGTGTATTAAATTGATATGAAAACAGATATGTTCATTGTCTTCACAGACTTTACATTCTAGTAGGAAGAAATATGCATATACAAAATAGTTCCACAAATATATAATAACAAACTCTGAAGAATTTATAAAGGAAATGAACAAGGTAACACATAACCATTGCACAGGAATTAAGCATTTGGTGGAGATTAGAGGTGGCTTGAACAAATGTATGAGATGAAATAGATATTGTATAGTATGTAAAGCAAATAAATAAATAAATAAACAATCCTGTAAAAAGAGAAATAGTGGACTTGAGCTATACCTTAGACCAAATGGACCTCATGGACATTTTAATGACCCGAATAGACATTTTTCCAAGAAAAGCATTCAAATGGCCAACAGCTAACATGAAAACATACTCAACATCATTAAGCATTAAGGAAATGCAAATGTAAACCACAATGAGACATCACCTCACACCTGTTAGAACGGCTATCACCAAGAAAGTAAGAAATAACAAGTGTTGGCAAGCATATGGAAAAAAGGGAATCCTTACACACTGTTTTTCAGAAAGTAAATTGGCTCAACCAAATAATATGGAGGCTCCTCCAAAAACTGAGATATCTGCACCTTCATATCCACTGCAACTTTACATACCGTAGCCAGGACATGGAAACATTTTAAGTCCCCACTGATGATGAAGGGATAAAGCAAATGTTACACCAACACACACCACAAAATGGAATACCAGTCGGTCATAAAAAAAGAATGAAATCTTGCCATTTGTGACAATACAAATAGACCTTAAAGGTTCTATGCTAAATGAAATAAGTCAGACAGAGAAAGACAAATACCATACATTTTCACTTGTATGTGGAACCTAAAAAACAAAACAAATGAGAAAACAAAACCAGACTCCTAAATACAGAAAACACACTGATGGTTGCCAGAAGAGAGGGGGGTTGGGTGTTGGGCAAAATGGATGAAAGTATCAAGAAGCATAAACTTCAGTTTTATTTTATTTTTTTAAGATTGTATTTATTTATTCATAGAGACACACACACACACACACACAGAGAGAGAGAGAGAGAGAGAGAGAGAGAGAGAGAGGCAGTGACACAGGCAGAGGGAGAAACAGGCTCCATGCAGGGAGCCTGACATGGGACTTGATCCGTGGTCTCCAGGATCACACCTCACGCTGCAGGCAGCGCTAAACCGCTGCGCCACGGGGCTGCCCAAACTTCAGTTTTAAAATAAATAAACCATGGGGATGTAATGAATAGACAATACTACTGTATTAACTTTGGTGACAAATGGTAACTAGACTTATTACAGAGATCATTCCATAATGCATATGAATGTTGTACACCTGAAACTCCTATAATATTGTGTGTCAATTATACTTCGATTAATTTTGTGTGGTGACAGATGTTAAGTAGGCTTATTGTAGTAATCATTTTCAAGATATACAAATATCAAACCATGTGTACACCTGAAAATAATATAGCGCTATATGTCAATTATACCCCAAGAAAAAAGAAATAACTGTCTCACTTTGAATGAATAAGGTCTTGGCAACAATTTCTTGGGTATAAAACCATAGCCAAAGCAAAGAAAAGAAAAGAAAAAACAAAACCAAAAAACCCCAAATAAACAAAAATAAATATAACTACATCAAATTTAAAACTTCTGTACAGCCAAACGATTAGCCAAATGCAAAGGCAACCTGTGGAATAGGAAAAAAACATATCTTGTAAACCATCTATCTCATAAGTGGTTAATATAAAGTTACTCATATAAATCAAGAGTGAAGAAAACAAACTGATTTATAAAGGGACAGAGGAGGACTTCAGGGAAGAGAGCAGAGTAGCTGGACCCTAAGTTCACCTCATCCCATGGATACAGCTAGATAAAATCCACATCAGTGTAAATACCCCAGAAAACCACCTGAAGACTGGCAGAACACACTCTCCACAGCTAAGTGGAAGGAAGAGGTCACAACCAAGAAGGAAAGGAGGGCAGAGATGGGTCAGGAGTTAAAGGACCTATACAACTGTCCACAAGAGAGGGCTGCTGTGGCCTCAGAGAGGGGTAAGAAGGAGGCCTTCACACCAGGCAGGTGGAACCCACACAGGAAAGACAAACCCCTATAACATTTGACTTTGAAAACTAGAACAACACAATTTTGCCAGTTCTTACAATCAATAGGGCCTAACATCTGGGTCTTTAAAAATCATCAGGCTTGACTCCCGGGGAGCCAGAGGGCAATAGGAAATTGAGTCCCTGCCCTTAAAGAGATAACACAACAAACAATCCCATGGAGATACAGCATGCAAGCAGCAGTTTGAAAACCACCAGGGGTGGGGGGTGGGGGGGTTGGGGGGTGGTAGTGTACACTGGAGGGAGTCTTGTTTACTAATCTCAGAGCATGTGTTGGAGTGGCAGGGATCTTTGGGAGGCTTCTTTAAGAACAAAAGAGCTGGTGGGTGCCATTTGCATCCCTTATCCCCACCCTAGACACACTGACACTTGCAGGAACCAGGGCAGCAACAACACGTTCTACCTAACTTGCTAACAGTGCACCCTACTCCCCACATTCTCCTACAAACATACCCACTTCAACCCGATCTCAGCTCCAGGAGCTGTCCCACATCAGACCTATACAAACCTTGATAACACCTCATGCCCTGCGGGACTTCTCCTGTGGATCTGCCTCTACAATACCTCTGGCCAGAGCCCATCCAAAGCTGTGCCACAGGCCTGGCAAGGTGCGGCAGCCCTAAAAGGAGCCAGCACAACTCCAAAGTGGCTCCTGCCTGGGGAAGAGGGGAAGGGAAGATCACTACATAGATGAGTCCAACTACAGCCCCAGCAACCAGCTGAGGGCAGACATCTGGTCTGACTGCAGGCCCCACCCAAGAGTGAAAGCTTCTCAAAAGACAACACAGAGAAAGCAACCAGCAATTCAGTGTTACCTATCTCTGGCAAACACCTGGTCTGATTCAATTCAGGCCCAGGACAGTCCCAGACTGCCTCATTAACACAAGGACAAAACCCTGCCTCCATCAGGGAAAGACAGCCATTGCAGACAACTGAACTGAAGTCAAATGTGGCTCAGCAACAACAGTAGGGGACATGCAACGTATAGGAGACAACCCTGAAGCACCAGGTTCTGGTGAACAGGGGACATTGGACTGCAGGGCACCACAGGACCTCTCCTTCATAAAGCCACTGATTTCAAGAGCAGGAGATGTAGCTGACATTCCAAACACACAGAAAGAGACCAAGGGGGAGTTGGACATAATGAGGAAACAAAGGAATGTGTCTCAAATGAAAAGAACAGGACAGGGACCCTGGGTGGCTCAGTGGTTGAGCATCTGCCTTTGGCTCAGGGCGTGATCACGCAGGCCTGGGGCCGAGTTCCATATTGGGCTCCCCACAAGAACCTGCTTCTCCCTCTGCCTATGCCTCTGCCTCTCTCTCTCTCTCTGTGTGTGTCTCTCGTGAATAAATAAATAAAATCTTTTCAAAAAATTAAAAGAACAGGACTAAGTCATAGGACAAGAATTCAACCAAAAGGGGAAAATTAATATGCCTAATAGACAATTTAAAGTAATGGTCATAAAGATATTCAACGCACTCGAGAAAAGAGTGGAGGACCTCAGTGAGATCCTTAATGAAAAGATAGACTTGAGGAAGGTGGCAGAGTAGGGGGACCCTGAGTTCTCCCTGTCCCATGTTTGTCACCGATTATCATCCACACCCAAGTCAGTAAGCCAGAGAGTGATCTGAAGACTGGTAGAACAAACTCCACAACTATAAATAGAGAAGTTTCATCTGAAAGTTAACCCTTCAGCTCAGAATTGTCGAAGGAGGCTACCTACAAGAAGGAGGGGACTGCACACAAGGAGAGGGCTGAGAAAGAGGCCCTCACACCAGGAAGCTCCACAAGGAATATTAATCCTCATAAAAGCTGGCCTTAATAACCAGAAGGGCTGAATTCTGTGAGTTTTTAAAACCAGTGAGACCTGGGGCCTGGAACTTTAAAAGTCAGCACTGGGTGACCCAGCACTGGGTGAGCTGGAGGGGTGACTGATAGCAGGATCACTGGCTTTAACAAGACAGCAACCATTTTCACAATATTTAGTCTTTCAATCCATGAGCATGGAACATTTTTCCATCCTTGGTGTCTTCCCCAGTTTCGTTCACAAGTGTTCTGTGGTTTTTACAGTACAGATGCTTTACCTCATTGGTTAAGTTTTTTCCTAGGTATCTTTTGGTGTCTCGTGCAATATTGTGAAAATGTCTCTGCTACCCAGAGCAATCTACACATTCAATACAATTCTTATCAAAACACCATGGACTTTCTTCGCAGAGTTGGAACAAATAATCCTGAGATTTGTATAGAACCAGAAAAGACCCAAGTAGCCAAAGGAATGTTGAAGAAGAAAACCAAAGCTGACGGTATCGTAATACTATATTACAAAGCTGTAATCATCAATACAGCATGGTACTGGCACAAAAACAGACATATAGATCAATGGAACCGAATAAAGAATCTAGAAATGGACCCTCAACTCGATGGTCAACTCGTCTTCAACAAAGCAGGAAAGGCTATCCGCTGTAAGAAAGACAGTCTCTTCAATAAATGGTGTTGGGAATTGGACAGCCACGTGCAAAAGAATGAAACCAGACTGTTCTCTTATACTATACACAAAAATAAACTCAAAATAGATGAAAGAGCTAAATGTGAGACAGGATCCATCAAAATCCTAGTGTTCTCCTTTTGACCTTGGCCATAACAATCTTATGCAAGACATGTCCCTTAAAGGCAAGGGAAACAAAAACACTAATGAACTTTTAGGACTTCATCAAGATAAAAAGCTCCTGCACAGCAAAGGAAAGAGTCAACAAAACTAAAAGACAACCTACAGAATGGGAGAGGATATTTGTACATGACATATCAGATAAAGGGCTAGTATCCAAGATCTGTAGAGAACATATGCAACTTTACATCCAAGAAACAAACAATCCAGTCTTGAAATGGGCAGAAGACATGAACAGACATTTCTGCAAAGAAGACCTACACATGGCCAACACATTAAAAAGTGTTCCACCTCACTTGCCATCAGGGAATACAAATCCATACCTCTTTATACCAGCGAGAATGGCTAAAAGCAACAAGACAGAAAACAACAAATATTGGGGAGGATGTGGAGATAGGGGCACCCTCTTACACTGCTGGTGGGAATGCAAGCTGGTGCAGCCACTCTGGGAAACAGTGTGGAGGTCTCTCAAGAAATTAAGAATAGAGCTACCCTAGGACCTAGCAATTATACTACTGGGTATTACCCCCAAAGATACAGAGATAGGGAAACCATGGGACACCTGCACCCCAGGGTTCAGAGCAGCAATGTCCACAATAGCCAAACTGTGGAAGGAGGTATGATGTCCATCCACAGATGAATGCATAGAGAAGATGTATGTCTGTAGATACAATGGAATATTACTCAGCCCTCAGAAAAGACGAATACCCACCATTTACATCAACATGGATGGAACTGGAGGACATTATGCTGAGTGAAATAAGTCAATTGGAGAAAGACAACTATCATATGGTTTTACTCATATGTGGAATATAAGAAATAGTGAAAGGGACCATGAGGGAAAGGAGGGAAACTGGGTGGGGGAAAATTAGAGAGGGAGACAAACCATGAGAGACTCCAGACTCTGGGAAACAAAGGGTTCTGAAGGGGAGGTGGGAGGGAGGATGGGGTAACTGGCTGATGGGCATTAAGGAGGACACACGATGGGATGAGCACTGGGAGTTCCACTATATGTTGGCAAATTGACTTTAAATTTAAAACATGAAGCCAAAAATATATTTAATAAAAATACTCAAATTTTGACCTTCTAAAAAAAAAAAAAGACAGCAGCCTGCACAGAGGCAACATAAAAAGGGCAGTTGACACAGGAAGGGGGCAAACAGGGGACAGATCTGTTCATAGTGACTTTAGAGCATGTTAGGGGACTTCTCTGAAAGAGGAGCTGGCAGTCACCAGGTTCTCACCCATCCTGCCAGCATAAACACAGAGCCACCTGCAGCAAGTGGCACTGCGCAGACATTTGCTACCGAACCTACGAGCAGTGTGCCAGGCCCACGGGTTCCGAGGACTTGCCACTCCAAGCCCACTAGCCTCAGCCCTAAGCTCAGGGCAAATTTTGTTAAAGCCTCGCTGCACCCTTCCAAGCTGCAGGGTGCACAGCCTTGGCAGAGTGCACGCTGCGGCCACACACTGTGGCCAGCCACTCCACAGCACCCAGGCACTGAGCAGCACCCAGCCACCACTGAGTGCTGTGCATAGCTCCCACCTTGCACTGAGACCAGCTTCATGCCCCCAACCATCATCCTGTGCTAGGCCCTGCCGAACCCAGCCATACCCAGCCTCGGTCCACTGGCTACCCCAGCACGTAGCCCCCAACCACGGCAGTGCTTCAGTGGATCTGGCTTAAGACTCGTGTCCCAGTAAAAATTTTGCTAACACCTCCATCCTGTGCCCAAATTTCCTGGCAGACACAGCCCTCAGAGCTGGGCACTTGGGTTCCACTAGCAGCGCAAAGAGCAAGCACAGCGCGATAGACAGAGAGCCAGTGCAGACAATGCGCTGAAAGGAAAAGTGACTCAGACACAACACACAAGGACACTGTCCTGAAGTGTTAGGTTCCCATAAACTGGAGACACTATACTGTAGGCCACTGCAAGACCTCTCCTTCATAAAGTCACTACTTTCCAGAACAGAAGACAGAGCTGACCTTCTTAACACAGAAACAGACATAGAGAGGCAGATTAAATGAGGAGACAAAGAAATTTATCCAAAATCAAAGGACAGAGGAGCTAAGATTGCAGCACTTTAGGGGACCCTAGACTTGTCTCATCCCTCGAACACAACTAGTTGATTATCAAATCAATCCAAATACCCCAGAAACCAACCTGAAGACTGACAGAACCATTTTCACAACTACAGGAATAGAAGAAGCCACACTGAGGACGGTAGGAAGTACAGAGCAGTGGTTTGGGGGAG